ATCCAGCTTGGAAGAAGCGACACTACAAGCACTCTTAGAGCAAGAGAATTTAGTGTCACTATGCATTAAATGGTAGAAATATTGAACTGTAGCGATCTCCCTATTATCAGTAGGAACATAAAATAGTTAAATGAGGAGTTGGTGAAGACCTTCATTTTAACATAGTTAACTGGAAAATAAACCCCTTATTTAGTTTCCTAGATAAACTGTCTGTTATCTCCTGCTTGTTTCTCCTTTTAGCCTGTAAGGGTGCATATTTCCTAAGCTTGAATAAGCAATGTACTTTAGCATTATATTATCTGGGTACAGATCTCTTGAAATAGACTTTCCTGAAAGTCATCTTTTAAAATATTCCAACCTCAACATTAAGGCCTTTATTATTATGATGCCATCGAAGAATCTGTTAAACATCATTTTCAGGCAGATACTAGAACTACCACAGAGTGGCAATACATACAATTTTTTTTCTTTAGTACCAGGATTTTGTCTTTCTTCAATGAAATTTATTTCACTTTATCTTTTTCTTTCTTTATAATATATTGATTGAAGTGTTAGTTAACTTAATACTGTTAAACAGATTTGAAACAATGTCTAACATTTCAAAATAATAATTAAACATAGGTTATTAAATTCAGAATCAAGTACCCTCTAGAAGTTAAATTTTCCTTTTCAATTATATTTTTTAACTCTTCATTTACAAGCAGTGTGACTTAAAAAACATATAACATTTGTAATCTGGAAATGAAGGAGTCAATTTTTCAGTACATGTCAAAATTAAAAAGGGAGTTGACAAAGCCTGAGTACTCCATCATTTTGACATCATAATTTTATATAAGGTAAGAAACTATTCTGGAAGCAAAATCCAAATTTTTCTAGGGATTTTTCCTTGACCATAGAAACTGCAAGGACTATGGTTTTATTACTGGAGGTCAAGCACTATAAAATCACTTATTTCTAGATAAACTAAAAGAATAAAAATCTATAAAAGATCTTATATTTTAGTGTAAACACTGGAGAATGTTAATTTTCTCTTTGATGCTTATATTATTTTTCTGTATGGCACGCTTAGGGAATGATATTATGTTTATAGACTTTGGAAGGATTCCCTGTACTCTAGCCACTTTTGACATTCTTCTCTGGGAATGCAGGAAAGATCAGTTTTCTCGTTATCCAGGGAGTGCGACCTCCCCACCCCATTTTCTGCTTTCCTCATTTTAGAATGTTTTACTGCCTTTGAATACTAGAACAGTTCACAACTTGATTCTGAGCAATCCTATTATTTTCCAGAGAACTGAAAGTTAGATTATTTCAAGAAAAATCTCAAGCTCAAATCTCCATAAAATGAATGTTTCATCTGTGGTGATGCTTGCTTATACATATGCACCCATGTAATTAGGAACATATATATGTAGTAATGAGGAGCAGCAGGCTGTGTCCTACCACCTGGCTAGATTCACCCCAGAAATAACCACATAGAAATTATATTAATTAAATTACTGTCTGCCCTATTATATCTAGCTAATTCTTGGCTAACTCTCACATCTTGATTCAACCCATTTCTAATAATCTGTAGGTCACCACAAGGTTGTGGCTTACCAGGAAAGATTCATTGACTCTGACCTGGTGACTGTCTCCATGGAGGCTCTCCCTGTCTGCCTTCCTCCTCCCAGCATTCAGTTCTGTCTTCCCACCTATTTAAGTATTGCCCTATCAAAAGGCCAAGGCAGTTTCTTTATTTAACCAATGAAAGCAACACAAATACAGAAGGACCTCCTACACCACTATACACACACAAACTTACACATCTCATTAAACCAGAACCAGATAATTTTTATATGCAGGTATGTAAGATCCCTTTCTTCTTATTTAAATTTTGCCTTTATAGGTGAATATAACTATGTCCTTTAAGCATTTGGGCTACCAAAATATAGGCAAATATGATCAATTGTCTAATGTGAATTCAAAGAATTGGCTTTCTTTAAAAAAAATAGTAGAAAATTTACCAGACTTTTGATTCTTACCAATGGATTAGTAGCCAAATGAAAAAAGAATATCAATGATTTCCAGAATTAAAAATTACATGTCATAAGTACTATTGATTTCAAGTTGTCTAGGTCAGGCAAATTAGCAGAAGCAGCAGTGAAGATCCTGTTGGTAGAAATTCCTGGCACATGACCTTATCAGGCAACAGCAGCATGCCTGAATACACTAAACGTGACACTGAGAGACACTAAATGTGACAGCACCATTGAAACTGACAAAAGGTCAAGATAGACTGCCAGAGGCGCATTGGGTCCAGTGATTTTTATGGTTAATAGCAGACAAGAAATCCATTCTACCCTCTTAAAACATGTTTATACCTTTTTGCTATATTGTCAATTTTATATTTGTAAAATATAAACTTTTAATCAATAAATATATACTCAGGACAAATAAAGCAAACGATAATAATTTTTACTGAAAGAAAATGACAGTGCCTTTAACTAGATCTAATAAGAGTTCATCTTTAGGCAAACTGATCTCTCTACTACACCCTTACTATTAAAGAGATCCATCCTTATGCAACCTTTATTGTGTTCTTTAAAAGTCTTCCTTTAGCCATGTAACCATCTCTTATGCAATTAAAACACAGCATATTTCTGTGATTACCATTTCTGTAAGTAAAACTGGCGAAAGGGAGTTTTAGTGTGAATTCTTAAAGATGAGTAAATTCACAGGCTATTTCTGTGTTATCACGCCCTCCTTTCCCTCATATGTCAGTACCCAATGTGTCAGATATATGCCTTTACCTCAGAGTTCAGTTGAGCTGTTGAACAAATAAATATGTTTCCCATCATAGGGTATACACATGGAGCTAAAGAGAATACCTTATAATTACTATGAAAATCTTAACAGGAAACTAATCCAAATCACCTATACTATATTTTATATATCTTTGAGTATACATATAAGTATATAAAAATTTGCTTTCTTTTTAATTTTAGAAGTCCATTTAGAACATTTACTTTTAACTGACATAATCTACCTTCTCACAAGGATCTACAGCTTTATTTTCATAAGTCATAATTTACAAAATTACACTTAACACTAAGCTACTAAATTAAATGCAGATTTTTTCAGTTAGAGATTCATAGCCCATTTTTAGTTTTTTTTTTTTATATTTTGTTATTTATTTATTTATTTATTAAAGATTTCTGTCTCTTCCCCACCACCGTCTCCCATATCCCTCCCCCTCCCTCAATCAACTCCCCCTCTCTCATCAGCCCAAAGAGCAGACCGGGTTCCCTGCCCTGTGGGGAGTCCAAGGACCTCCCACCTCCTTCCAGGTCTAGTAAGGTGAGCATCCAAACAGCCTAGGCTCCCACAAAGCCAGTACGTGCAGTAAGATCAAAACCCAGTGCCATTGTTCTTGACTTCTCAGCAGTCCTCAATGTCTGCTATGTTCAGTGGATGTCTCTAAGCTCTCTACCCTAGGCCATTTTCCCACAGGTTCTTTATATTATAAAATCACTTACTTGCGATTGTTTAGGCCACCTCTTTTTATAAGTGCTACACTTGGATTATAATGCCTTTCCTACTTCTGATACTTAACTCTGACTACTCCACATTCCATGCTCCTCATGACCAAATGACACTTTGTTCCTTCTCCAAACCTCCATAAAACATTAAAGAGAAAGAATGATCAAAGTACTAGAGTAAGTATACTGGGCTCTGGTCAGCATCCAAAAGATAAAGACAGAAGAAATCAAAAGGAAAAGTTATGTGTTTCTGGATCAGGACTCTGAACCGTAGAGATACCCAACACAACCTTATAGTGGATCTAGAATGGCTGTATTAAAGAGCAGGGATTCTAGGACAGAAAACTATATTATCTCACTAAAAACATAATTATTTCTCGTATCTCTTTAGCACAGCTTATAATGGATTTGTCTTCCTGAAAAGTAGTCACCTGGTCATGTGATTGGCCAGGACAATAGGATTAAGTGTTCTATTTTTAAAATTAATTAATTTTGTTAATGATTTATATGTGGATGTGCATGTTTGTACTTGAATGACTTTATGTGAACCATATGCATGAAGGAGCCTGCAGAGGCAGGAAGGCAGTATCAAAACCCTGCGAACTGAGTTAACCTGTCAAAAAGGGATGTTACTGAGGCAGTATACTGCCAGTAAAGTAAATTTCTGTCCATATTTCAGAGAATATGCCTTGGATAAAAATGGAAGTTTTAATAACACTATCTTTTACATGACATTGAAAGTCACAAGTACATTAATGGAAAGTCATTTGGGTACAAAGGAATGTTGGGGGGAGGCTGCTAGTTAGTTCCTAGCTGCTTAGCCCCAAAATAATCACACAGAAACTATATTATTTAAAACACTGGCCATTAGCTCTAACTTCTTATTAGCTAACTCTTACATATTAATTTAACTCATTTCTATTAATCTGTGTATCACCATATGGCAGTGGCTTACTGTTGAAGTTTCAGCATGCCTGACTCTGCCAGTGACTCCATGGCTTCTTCCTGACTCTGCCCTTCTTTCTCCCATCATACAGTTTTGTTTTTCCCAGCTACCTAAGTACTTCCCTGCTATAGATCCAAAGCAGTTTTTCTATTCAATAATGGTAATCACAGCATACAGAGGTAAATTTCACATCAAAGGAAAGCTGTGAAAACAGCAAAAAGTCCACTCTAGTCCTGACATAAGATAAGGATACAGAGAAGACAGTAAATCTGTAGACATGAACACAGAAAATCCAAAATATCTTAAGCCAAATGAAGGTAATTTTAAGCTGTAGGCTGAAATAAATTATACTGGATCGAAGACTATAATTCACTCATTTGATATAAATATATTCAACTTTTTAAAATAAAGACTAATATGTATAAAGTCAATGATTTAGAATTGCAAAGCTATTTCTTGTAGGACCATTTCTCCATTTTTTTCTTTCTAGAGAAAGCTGATTTGTTTTTTGATGATATATATTTTCATTCTTGCAGAACATAAAAGACAATCTGCAACAAATCTCAGGTCGAATTGACGCTATTCACACCAAGAAGACAGGAGCCTTGCAAAATGCCACCTCTGTGGAAAGGGGGAAGATACAGGATGCAGTGGCGCAGCTGGATTTCCAGAGGGATAAAGTTAACAGAATGTACAAGGAACGACAAGGGTAGGTAGCATTTTAATTGTCCTGAAAGGTTATATAGCAATTTTCAGGAAAATTTAAAATTCATTCAAATAGTTTTCATGGGTAAAAAAGACAGAAAAGGAAAGGAAAATATATTACTGTATAACACAAGCATATTATTACTAGTGGACTGAGTTGTTGAAACATTGTTTGCATATTACCTCATCCTCTAAAGGTGCACATAATGTGAAGGCTGTTTTGTTCTTTAATTAAACTTATATAAAATGTAAAACATATATCTTTGATTCTATATACCTCCCATGTATTTATAAGAGTTATAGTACTTAGAACTTTATAACAAAAAATTCCTTCATTTTAATTTATTATTTCCATTTGAAAACTGATATTTATACATTTGATAGTCTTTTTTCCCTATACCTCTCTATTTTTCAACATGAAAATCTTATTTGTTTTAAAATCAATTTTTATATCTACCGTAAGTAAAATACTTATCTTTTGAGTTAACTTTTGAAGGCATCCATATGCATTAGCCTCACATCACAAGAAGGTGAATTATTCCTTTAATAAATTTAGAATGCAAGTTTTCTCACCTCGTACAAAATTTCAAATTTTGTAGTTTAAATATATACTTCATCATCTGCCTGAGAAGAATTAAAATTATATTAGATCTCTCATGTGTGTATTTATAGTCATTTTTATACTTTAGGTTTTAGTTTACTGCTTTATACTCTGAAACAGATATTCCAGAGAATAATTTTAGTATTTACCAATGATTGTCTTTATTGTATTCCCAGTTATCTTTCATCTAGAGTTATTCTTATAAAGTATAATACATTTAGTTCTATAATATTATTTTCCTATGAATAAAATACTGACTCATTAATTTGGCATAAAAGGTTTTCACATGATCCCTATTTACCTAGATCTGGTTAACTACACTTTTTGTCACATGTCATCTGTACTACAACTCTCCTGCATTGCGCTTTAGCAATATGAAATTGCTTTGCAGTTTCTAAAGTGTTTTGTTTGCTCCTTTATCTTTCCATTCATATTCATCAAGATTCACTTTAAATGCTTTACAGCTCTTGAAATCCATGATTATCAGTGGACTATGCTTTCTTGAAGCTTAAAAATTAGTTTATCACTTACTATAATAAATCCATAAATCATTTTATATGTAAAGTATTTTCAAATATTGTTGTTACTTTATGTGCACTATATTCTTCAATGTGACCTTCTCTTGCAATTTACTGTGTAGTAATAAAAAATTTAATTTAAGCCTTGCAAATGTGAGAATATCGCTCCTCCATTGAAGCAATGCAATTATCTCAACAAATGGTAAAATATTTAGTGTAACAATATCTAATTTTCTTGTTGATGAAGAAAAGAAAGCCAGTAATCTGATATAAATACTGTACAAGACAGTCTTGCATTGCTACTGTAGTATATTTTCATACTCTGTGTGGAATAATTGTAGGTTACGGCAGGATTCTCCAAATGATATCAGATTCATCACCTTTTGGAATGAGTTCATTCCACAGTCTTTTGTGTGTTTCCACTTATTTTCTTGTACCATTCTGGGCTATGCACATATGCTAAGAACTGTTGGAGTTTCTTGAGTATTCAGTGATCACTGTGCTTCTGTTGGGAGCCATCCTTGAGGGGGGAAGGGGAGGAGGGCAAGTTCAGAGAGGAAGGAGTGAGCCAGGCACAATGTTGGGGAAGAATCTTACAGCCTGACTGACTAGGAGTCAGATTGTTTCTTTATTTGTACAGAATTCAATTAGCAGGAATGGATTCATGTTGTGCTAAAGTATAGATCATATCACATGTGTTTCACTTTCTCTCTCACCCCCTCATATCTCTTATTTATTATTGAAAAACCATGACAGAACAGAGTTCTTATAAAATCATTTTGCCTCAAGTTTAAACATAATTGATAAACTGTTATGTATTATAACCATTTTTACTCATGAAGCCCATAACCCAAATTTTAAGAATCTAGAGGCACATGTCAACCTGTTCTCAGGCTAGTAGCTTTGGTTGCTTAGAGGATGCTAGACCAAAACAAAATTTGCAAGTCAGCCATGGCAAATTATCATGTCCAAAGCAGTGTATTAACACTTAATGGTCAGAGTGTACAAAAATATCTACTAGCCAAAGCTGCTTCAGATATTATTCAAATTCTGGAACAGTACAAAGGTTACATTATATATGTGTGTGTGCACATGCACAAGCATGCATATGTGTATGTATTTGTTTTTAAGTCTAATCCTGGCATTCTGTTGTTCCTTATTCATATGACACCATAGTGGCTCTGCATATGCTAATTCTTCTATAAAAGGGAGGTCCTAACTTCACATTTTTTTAAAAAAAATATCATTGTTTCTCTATATTTTGTTCATCAATATGAGTCTCTGTGTAGGGCAGAGGTAATGTCATCTAATGGAACTTTGTTGTTCTATATGCCACACAGTAGCCTGAGTGTATAGTTAGTTGGAAGCGCCTTGCCATCTGATCTGTAGCCAACTCTTCTAGTCCACTGAACCTTGTTGAACTTTTAAGTTTACTTTGTTTTGATTATCTTGTTCTGGAGTACTTACAGAGGCAAATGTTCCAAAAACTATTTCATAGCCTTATAAAGAGATCTCTGGCATCATTATGTGTGTCACTATCTCCAAGGTGTGAGGAAGACCTTCAAATAGATAAGGGCATCTCCCTAAACGCAGGAGGAGGAATATGTTTAGGACATTCCTGGCAAAGCTTAGAAACAGTAATCCCTGGGAAAGACATATATGATTCATAAAAAATTTTCCATCAATCCAATATCCCCAAATTGAACAAATGTCAAAAGTCCCCCAAGTATACAACAGGTGGAAACAAAAAGCAAATGTAGGATGGTGACCATCATGTAGCTTAGCTTTGCTGGATCTTTGTCCAGCAGCTGTGCTGGCCTTATAACTTTTGCGGTTCCTATCAGATATGGTTGTGCCAAGACATATGTAGCATTTTTGGTTCCGAGGCTCCTTCTTCACTTTAATCGTACATCTGCTAATATGTGGTCAGCATGTGGACTTTTAACAGAGGAAAACAGTTCTTTTCATTTCACCTTTGACCCTAGACATAGTATTGAAGTAGGAACACTAATGCTAGTCCTTAAAGGAAGTAGCTGAAATTTCATACAAATCTGAGATATTTTGAATTTCTTGTGAGTAAATAAATCTCTAAACTCGATAGTCTTACTCTTTCTTGTTCAGAGGCCAAAATGGAATTTTCACTTTCATTTGGCCTTCTCAAACATTTAGAAGCTCTATCATTTTCTGTGACGTTTACTGAAATCTCAGGTAAACACTTGTAAGTAATTGTTTATAAGCATAAACTCTAGAGTTCATCTTCCTTTGGAATCGTGGCTTCTTCCTAGACTGACTGTGCATTCCTGATCAAAGTTCTTAGCTTTTATTCTCTCTATTTTTAAAATGGGAACAGAATCCTTCTCAAACTACTGTGTTGTCATGAGGAGTCAGTGAAAGAGCACATGTATAAGGACTTTTGTAATGACAACATTGATCCTGTGACTCTGACACTTTTGATTTCTGATAATATATTATGGTTTTGCTTATTTGTTTATTTCATGTGGGGAGAGGGCACTCATGTTCCATTGTACACAAGTGGAGTTCACAGGACTATTTCAAAAGATGTTTTCTCAGTCTTTCATGCGGGTCCCAAGGAATTAATTCAGGTTATCGGCATTGGCAGCAAGCACCTGCTGAGCCCATAGTTTATTTTTATACTTCCATATTTTTTCCCTCTTACTACAGAGAGATGAGTTAGACTCAGTCTCTGCTTTGGATATCATTACAGATATGGAAACAAAATTGATAGCCTGCCAGTAAGATAAGGGTAGATAAATATAAGATATGCTATTCTTATGGCAAGAGTGATTTCCCCAGTGATTGAAATTGAATCATCTTATTCAGACTCAGAATGACTCAAAATATAGTACTTCTGTCATGATTCATTCCTTAAAAATAATATTTAAATAATTTTTGAGAATTTCATATAATATTTTTTGACCATTTTCATACCCTTCTCCATCTTCTCCAAGATCCACCACCCTTCCATTCCACAAAAATACACCCTTGTTTGTATTTTGTCTGAGAAGAAAACAGTATTTTTATGCTGTCCAAATCCCTCTGCTGTAGGGCAGGCCATGGGATATGGTCAACATACCAAGGTCAAACTCCTCAATAAAATAGACTCTTCTTCTTCCAGCACCTATTATATCCTCGTAGTTCTTAATACAGGGTGCAGCTTTGGGCCTACCTGTACCCTTAATGTTGGGATTCTGTCTGGCTTGGGCTTGTACAGACTTCATGAGCATTGTCACAGTCTTCTAGTAGCTATGCAACCTTCCTGTTGTATGCAGAAAACGGTTCTTGTTAGTCATCTAGCATTTCTGAGTCTTATGAGCTTATCTTCTGAGATGCTTCCTCAGCCTTAGGGAGACTGGTATGATACAGATGTCCCATTTAGGGCCGAAGAATGCTCTGCAGTGTCGTCTTCTCTGCGTGATGAGAAGGCTGTGTTTTTGTGCTAATTGCTATAAAATGTAAGAAGAAACTCACTACCAGTGAAGAAATGTAATCATCAATCTTACCCACCTGGGAACCCTATGATTTACAGTAATTACAGAGCTGGAAAATGCAGCCAGCCACAGGTGCAGCAGTAGCATGAATGCTATGGCTTTAACTAACCACATTATGTTCAGAATTTAAATTCATACTATGGGACCTATACGTGGCATGATTGCAAACAAGAACCTGAGCCTAGTGGTGTCAAAGGTCCTATAAGGAATGTGGAAATTAAAAAAAATGCTTCCTAGTATTAGAGATTTATTATTATTTCTGCAATCCTTCAAACTGGTTTGCTAGTGGACGGTTTTATACCCATAGCATGCTAGCAGCACTAATGGGGCTTAATAAGTTATCCAAATAAAGCATAAATTTGGGAGTTGGAATGATTGGA